GGGGGGGGGGGGCTTTTTACCATAGGCCTGAAAGGGTAGGGGGAGCAGTCACTGGGGTTCAGAGATGGCTGGAGCTGGGAGAGGGCCCCTGGCAGGAGCTGAGGATTTGGTAGAGAGGTAGACATCCCCCCCCCCACCCCCCCCCCCCCGCTGCCGGGACCCCACAGGGAGGCAGCTGGGGGAAGAAATCAGACCCCTCTCATTTGCCTCCTGCCCTCTGAGCTTCTGCCAGGGCCTCCTGTTGGCCAAGCACAGCCCGAAGCCTCTGGATGCAGAGGTCAGCTGCCTCAGGTGGGGGCAGGGTGGAGCAAGGAGAGGAATGCTTCGGGCAAAGAAGTGGAAAATATTCAGCACACAATCATCTGTGTGAAAGCAGGTGGGGAGATCCGTATCTGTATCTCTACATATTCATACGCTTGCTTATAGATGGGCAAGTTATTTCTGGAATGATATGCACACAAAAACTGGTAGAAACTTCTGAGAAGTGTCCTACTTTCCATTGTGTAACTTTATCTACTGTTTGATCTTTACCGCCTGCATTTATTATATATACAATCCATCCATCCAATAGGGACATGCATGTGATCTAAGCTAGACAATCATGAAGCCCCCCCTCCTGGCCACAGTGATTTATCCAAGGGTTGGCACGTGACCCACACTCAGCCAATCAGAGCCTTGCCTGAGCTTGTCAGCCTGGAGCTGGGAGGAAGAGAGGTCCTTTCCTGTGGTTAAGGATCCAGGATGTGGGTCTAGAGATGTACCTGATAATAGTAGCTAACAATTGTTTGATACTTACATTCCACTGAAACACGTAAGTTAGTGACAGTCTCCGTTTTTCATCCCCCAAAGGAAATTTCATCTAGTTCAACCTACACAGGGCAGACTCGCAAGGGGAGGGGTTTGTACAGGGCATGTTCACCAGCAGGGTGGGAATTTGGGGGCTGTCTTGGAATTCTGCCTACTTTATAGCAACCCCATAAAGCGGGTATTATTGTTATTAACCCCATACTATAAATGTGACAACTGAGGGAGAGGGAGGTTAAGTGACTTGTCCAATATTGCACAGTGGCTTCAGAGGCCCCCAGTGTGCACCTGAGTTCCCCTCTGCCGTGTGCTCTGGTGTGGAGGAGCCTCACTACACTGGGGGTGAGGGGCATGCAGAGGAGAGGCGGAGAAGCAGGGACCTGAGGGTTAGTGGTCCTAAAGGCAGTACCACCTCAGCTAGGCGCTCTAGTTATACTTAGCAGCCAAGGCCTCTGCCATGCTTTTGCAAGGTCAAGGAGAATGTCGGGTCTTTGCCCTGATGTAACTGGATTTCTACATCAATTCTTTCCCATGTGTAATTAATTGAATAGTGGTCCTTCAAAAGATATGTCCAAGCCTTCCCCTTGAACCTAGGAATCTGGCTTTGTTTGGAAAAAAAGCCCTTTGCATATGTATTTAAGAATCTTGAGATGGAATCATCTTGGATTCAGGGTGGGCCCTAAATCCAATGGCTGGTATCCTTACAAGAGAAAGACAAAGGGAGATTTGAGATGTAGACATAAACACAGGGGAGAAGGCCATATGAAGATGGAGGTGGAGTGTGGAGTGATGCTGTCACAAGCCAAGGAACCTGGGCAGCCACTAGGAACTGGAAGAGGCAAGGACGAATCCTCCACTAGATCCTAATACCAGAATTGTGAGAGAGTAAATAGCTGTTTTAAGTCACCCAGTTTGTGGTAATTTGTTATAGCATCTCCCAGAGACTAATATACCCCCTTTTCTCTTTTCTTGCAAACTGAGTACAAAGGGGCATAAAAAATGGAGTAGAGCTCTGGTTTGATCCAAAACAAGATAGATTTGGTTTTCTGTTGATCCCAAAGATGAAAACCCTTTGAGGATTCCAGAGGTGAGGAAGGAGGGTTTGAGGCTGTTGGAAGTTGAGGGGCAGCAAGGGAATCTTGGCTCATCAGAGAGATTTCTAGAATGAGAAGAAGATAGACTGGCTCTCAATACATGTTCTAATTCCCACAGACTTTCTGAGTTTCTATGGCAGGCAGAATTCTGAGACGGCTTCCAAGAGTCTGCCCCTGCTATAGACACCCTGTAGAATCTCCTGTCCTCGAGTGTGGGTAGACGTGTGAATATAATGGGATCGTTACACCTGTGACTGTGTACATTATATAAGTTCCAGCAGTGGCAGACTAGAGAGAGACTTTTCTGCTGGCTTTGAAGGACCCAGCTGTCATCGTGAGAGTCCAAGTGTCGGGACCTGTGGGTGGCTTCTGCGAGTTGAGAGCCACCTCCAGCTCACAGCCAGCAAAGAAATAGGAACCTCAGCACTATGACTGCGAGGAACTGAATCCTGCCAACAACCTGGCTGACTTGGAAGTGAACCCTGAGTGTCAGACGAGCTCGCAGCCTCAGCTCACACCTTGATGTGGTGTCTGCCACGTGGGCAGAGGACTCGGCTTGGCCTCCCGACCACAGAAACATTTGAGAGAATGTTTTCATCCACCAAGTTTGTGGTAATGTGGTATGTGACAGTTGCTGACCAAAGGTTCTCCCATATTGTAAATGAACAGAGACCACTGAGCTTGAGCCTTGATTTTATGTTTTTATGACCCAATAATAAAAATGTATGTATAATTCTGAGTGTATTTTTAGATAAATCACACATTAGTTCAAAAAAAATTTTTTTAATATATTTTATTGATTTTTTACAGAGAGGAAGGGAGAGGAATAGAGAGTTAGAAACATCGATGCGAGAGAGACATCGATCAGCTGCCTCCTGTACACCCTCTACTGGGTATGTGCCCACAACCAAGGTACATGCCCTTGACCGGAATCGAACCTGGGACCCTTGAGTCTGCAGGCCGACGCTCTAGCCACTGAGCCAAACCGGCTAGGGTCAAAAAATTTTTGAAAGTCTCTAAAGAAAATAGAGAAGCCTGGCTGGAGTGGCTCAGTGGTTGAGTGTCAACCTATGAACCAGGAGGTTGAGGTTCAATTCTCGGTCAGGGCACATGCCTGGGGTTGCGGGCTCAATCCCCAGTAGGGGTGTGTGCAGGAGGCAGCCAATCAATGATCCTCTCTCATCATTGATGTTTCTATATCTCTCTCCATTCCTCTGTGAAATCAATAAATGTATTTAAAAAAAAGAAAATAGAGAAAAGATGAGCAAAAGTTAATCATTGTGCATAGATAAATGTGTCCTAAATGTCCTTGGTAATTGTTCTTTGTGTGGCAGCAGCTTTCCCCATAAACCCTCTGTGGTTGCACAAAGAGTGCCTCCAGTGTGATGTCTCTCCACAAACAGCTTTTCCTGCCACCCCACGGGCAGATTCCCAGCAAGCCCTGCTGGCACGGCACCACAGCCACACAGCCACTCCTCTGCCATCCCATTGACCACAGTCACAACCCCCCCCCCCCCCGCCCCTGCCCCGGGAGATCTGGATCTCAGCTCTGGGGACACACCATCCCAGTCCTTGGGAGTCATGGCCGCTCCTTCTGTATCTATCAGAAGTTCTTTAGAGTTCTCTTTACTTCTTACCAGCCCACTCCTCGCTCCCCAGTCCTGTTAGTTACTGATTCCTACTTTAAACTTTCCCTGTGTGACGTCCTGTGTGGTTTCTCTCTCTGACCAGACCCAGACTGAAGCACTGTTCCCAGCAGCATGTGGGCACCAAGTGCTGAGCACTGAGTGGATAGCTGCAGAGACCTGAGGTGACACAGCCTGTCTCCAAAGGGAAACATGGTGGCCACGTGAAGTGGACAGAGCACAGGACTCTGAGGTGAGAGGCTGTTTCCAGACCTGGTTCTGCAGATGACTGTGGGATTGGGGGGATCGCCCAGCAACTCAGTTTCCTCATCTGTGACGTGAAGATAATGGACTCTATGGCCTTGTGTTAGTTAGGGTCCAAGCTAAGCTTCTGTGACAAAGTGACTTAAAGAACATAGCTGTTTAGTCTTTCTCAAGTGTCTTTTCATGAGGGGTCCAAGGTGACAGGCTGCTCTGTTCCACATGGTCATTCAGGGACCCAGGTTCTGTCCATCTTATTGCTTTGCTATCACTTAGGGTATCTCCCTCATCCACGTGCAGTTCAGGGGAAGATGGAGGCGTGGAAGAGCGCGAGCTCAGTGCCTTAAGGCTCAGACTGAGAAGGGGTGCCTGCCACCTGCATGTGCATTCCAGCAGGTGCACTTAGTCACAGGACCATGCCACACTGCACAGGAGGTTGGGATAGGGAGTCATGCCCGGCACAATCAATGACATGGGAGAAGTGAGAGGATGGAGGGGGATAATGATCAATGCCAACTGTGCCTGCGCCAGCGCTACCAGACGCCTCCACACATCACCCCAGCCACCGGCAGTTAAAGGAGGAAAATATCCTTGTCCACATGGAAAATCCTGGCCTCATTGTTCTGCTTTTGCTTTTAGAGTCAAGATTCTCAGCACTTGCAGAAATGTCTTTAATGCTGAAAAGTGAAGAAGGAGGTGGCAGGTGTGACTAACAACACAGTCCTCGTGCATCTGCTAGGGAATACATTTTTTCCCCCTCCAACGTAACAAATTAGAACCCATCTGGGATTTGAGAAGTCTGAGCTAAGGTTTCCTGGATCTGTTTGCCTATGAAGCAGTAATGAAAAGTGAAGGAGATGAAGAAAAGTGAAAAAAATGATGAGTTTAAAGAACCCTTGTGTGACAAGTGGAACAAAGGCTTGTGAATTTTTATACATTTTTTTCTGGCATAAGACGGTGCCGTTTAAGGATATGGGGAGACCGAGGATTAAAATAAAGACCTGAAAATAATTGGACTCATTCATAGAGCTTCCATGTGCCAGATACTATTCTAAAACATTAAAAATGATAATTCCTCTAATCCCCACAAAAATATTTTAAAATAAAGACTATAATACCCATCTTAGAGATGTGGAAATGGAGGTAGAAGGAGGAAAAATAACTTACCCCAAATCTCACAGCTAGTGGATCTAGGATTTGAAGTTGGGTAATTTGGCTCCAGAGCCTGTGTCGGGGCCACCAACCTTTTTCAGTAAATCATCAGCCAGTAAGTCTTGTAGGCTCCGTGGGTAGTGCTGTCTCTGTCACAGCTGGTCAACCTGCTGTTGGGTGAATTCAGGCAGCTGCGGACGATGCGGAAACGAATGGGCTGCCAGTGGTTTCCTTGGCTTGTGGCTGCATCACTTCCATCTCGGTCCCTCTTCACATGGCTAATTATATCTGCGAAGACCCTATTTCCAAATAAGGTCACGTCCAGCAGTTTTGGATAAATGTGGCTGCATCACTTCCATCTCGGTCCCTCTTCACATGGCTAATTATATCTGCGAAGACCCTATTTCCAAATAAGGTCACGTCCAGCAGTTTTGGATAAATGTGCATTTGGGGTGATGGGACACTATTCAATTCACTATATCTCTCAACTCAAATATTACTAGGTTTTCCTGCCTTAAAAAGTATTAATTGTCTCCCTGCTAGCGTGACTTAGTTGCACTGAGAGGTCTCCAGTAGGAGGCAGCTGATGATGGTTCTCTATCATCAATGTTTCTATCTCTCTCCCTCTTCCTTCTTCTCTCTCTCAAATCATTAAAAGCATATTTTTTTTAAAAAGTTATTGATTGGGAAAAATAAGAACAGTTTTTCTACTTATTTCATGAGCGAGAAAAGATGGTAAAATGACATATTCAATTTTGTAAAGACAACACAGTGCCTATTAAAAATACATGATATTTATATTTACAATAATATTAGCCTCTTCCTGTCCTCACAGAGGCATTAAGAAGATTAATGCCTTGGAAATCTTATATATTTTAGTAAAGCATTATTATTGTCATTATTATGCGTATCCTGGTGTTTCTATTTTGAGGTAGCTGCTATAATTATAGTAACTTGTATGGATATATTAGATTTACCAGATGATTAAGCTATAAATTACTCAGAGTGTGCAAAGGTTTTTCAAGTCCCAGGAGTGTGTGTGTGTGTGTGTGTGTGTGTGTGTGTGTTACACTTATGATTCCCATGTTCGTGGAGAAATGGAGACCTAGAGAATTCAGACTTGCCCATGTTCCTCCAGTGAGCCGGGGCTAGGAAAGTCTGGAGCCCAGAACCCCGGTTGTGCGGGCGAGCCTATTTCAACTATTTTTTTTTCAATTCAACAAGTATACACAGCAGTTTTATCCCCAGTTTCACTTTTGTGGTTTCAGTTACCCGCAGTCAACCGTGGTACAAAAATATTAAATGGAAAATTACAGAAATAAACAACTTATAAATTACAGAATAAACAACTTGCAAGTTTTAAATTGGGTCTCATTCTGAATAGTGTGATGAAATCTCACACTGTTTCTCACTATCCTATCCTCTTTGGGATGTGAATCATCTCTTTGTCCATGCTGAACACACAGTACATTAGAATGTTTTGAGAGAGAGAGAAACCACATTCACACAACTTTTATTACAGTATCTGTATATATAAAAGCCTAAGCGACCATTATGACCGAATGACCAGAAGGACCAGTCGACCTGTCAGCAGATGAATGGATTAAAAAACAGGAGTACAGTGAGGGATCGTGCTCAGCTGACATGCCCCACATTTTCAGTGAGTGACCTACTAATGAGCACTTGGTCAAGTTCACTTGGCAGAGGTGCAAAGGCAGGGAGGAGACTAGAGCCAACACCCACCCGTTCCTCTCTGGAAGTGGAAAGAGCACAGGATGTGTGGAGGTGGGGCCCTTCCTCCCTGGCTCCCCAGAGAGAGCAGCAGACCACAAAGGCCAGAAGCACTGGGACTTGCGGGGAGGCTGCTAGGGGATGGCCTTGCTGACTCAGGGCTGCTCTGTCCCCATTTCTCCTTGTGGATATTTCCCCGGGGGTAGCAGGAGGGAAGGCCTCTCCCCTGAGCCGCTGCCTGCACGGTCTCCTCCCACTGAATGCATGAAGTGATATGATTTTGATTTTTCAGTTTAAAGGTAGAAAATGTCAATTACTTTTTAACTTGAAAAGTATTTAAAAATTTGCTTATTGACTTTATTGGGGTGACATTGGTTAGTAAAATTACATAGGTTTCAGGTGTACAATTCTATAATACACCATTTGAATATTGTCTTGTGTGTTCACTACCCCAAGGCAAGTCTCCTTCCATCACCATTTATCCCCCCCTTACTCCCTTTTACCTCCCCTACTCCCTTTCCCTCTGGTAAAAGGGCTGAAATGGTAAATTTTATGTTACGTGTATTTTACCACAATTAAAACTAAAAACAAAACAAAACAAAACACATCTGTAAAAGACAGACTTTTTCTAATGCTTGTTATTCTCATCTGTTATCTGGTAATCACCATACTGTTGTCTGTGTCTAGGAGTTTTTTCTTTGCTTAATCCCCCCTCCCCCTTTTTTCAGCCAGTCCCCCAACCCCCCCTCCCCTCTAACAGCTGTCAGTCTGTTCTCTGGATTTATGAGTCTGTTTCTATTTTGTTCGATAGTTTATTTTGTTCACTAGATTCCACATATAAGTGAAATCATATGATACTTGTCTTTCTCTGACTGGCTTATTTCACTTAGCATAATATTCCCCAGATCCATTCATGTTCTTGCAAAAGGTAAAAGTTCCTTTTTTTTTTTTTACAGCTGAGTAATATTCCATTGCATAAATGTAAATGTCAGCTTTTGAAGAGAGCTTGAAGGAAAAAAAGAATCCATACTTGAGTATGGGAGGTGCCCAAACAGGAACTTCTTAGCTTCCAGAAGAGCAGATAATTGCACAAATAGACCATAAACAAATGTGGCTATTCTGCCGGGAGTTTTCTTTCAATTGTCCCTGGGAGCTACAAAACCCACAGATACAGATAGATTTTATTATTCATTCAAAAAACATTTCTTAGACCCCATCTGCGTGCAAGGGGGTTGGTGCAGCAGCCAGATTTCGGAGAGGCTGGAGGCCGCTTGCATCACGCTCCTGGGAATGGAGACAAGGCCACTGGAGAACCCCACCTTCAGTTCTGGGAAACTCCCGAGGTCCCCGGGGACTCACAGCCTCCAGTGGCCCGTTTTGGTTGCTGAATTAATCTACACTTTGGGACTCCTGGCCTCCAGTCTGTAAATGAATAAATTCCTGCTGTCTGAAGCCCCCCAGTCTGTGGTGATGTGCTAGGGCGGCCCTGGGAGACTAATACAGGCAAGCAGACAAAAGTGCGGATCGTGGGCCAGGATCCGGGGAGACGGGAAGGCATGAGGAAAGGGAGGGAGGTAGTCAGGGCCTCTGTTGCAGGGTCAGGAATCCTGGCCTAGCCGGTTGTTCAAAACAGGGAATTTGTTGGCTCTTGTACCTGATCTGGCCAGCGGGTGACAGCTTCAGAAGCGGCTGGAGCTGGCCATTCTGGAAAAGTCATCTAGAACCTTCCTTTCTCCATCTCTTAGCTCAACTGGAGGGTCTGGTGAGCTCAGGAGCCTCTCTGTAGCCTGGCTTTGGGGACCTGCCCTCCAGGGTCATCATAGCAGGTGGGAGGCAGGAGGCGGGGCCTTTCGAGTGGCCAGACGTGGATCCCACTCACACCCTTGGATGGACACAGGGACAGAGGCCTCCCCAAGGGAAGTTAGGATGCTGTTACTAAGAGAGCATATAGGGATAAAGGCAGGCAAAAATGCCACAAGCATGTGACCAGGAGGTTCACATCTCTGCCGCCTGCCCCTCCCGATGGCAGCCCCTTGCCTCCCCGAATGACAGCACTAGTGTCGTTTTCAGTGCTCAGGGTGGTGACATTCAGCAGATTGGCCCAGCTGTGTAAAGCAACGTTCTAGGTGTGCTGTCTGCTGCTGACCTCGGGGTCCACCGGGAGGGACCCTGCCCTGCCCAGTGCCCTGACTCAGGGGTCCCGGGGTGACAATTCAGTGACCCACCTGGCCTTTCCGAGAGCAAATACAGATGGTAGCAGTGACTACTCACATGGAAATGCTTACTAAGTGGATCTGTCTGGGGGATACAGTCATCAGAGCAAAAGGATATTGTGCAGAAGAAAACACATCTTTTCACCTTTCCAGGGAAGATCTTACGCAGGGGCCAGGAGGGCATCCTGAGCTGATTCCCGTGGACACCGCAGCTGCTGAGTTTCTGCCAGAGTCTTAGCCTGGCCGTCTCGGGGATAGACCAGGATTACGTCTAGAGGATCAGGGCATCAGCGCCCCAGGCCACCTGGCTGGAAATAGGCTCTAAATAGGGATCACGGGGCGGGGATGGACAAATAGAGTGTGGGGGTGCTTTTTTCTACTTGGGGGGCATCTCAGCAGATCTCAGCTGCCAAACAGGCAGCCCCCAGCATTTCCTGCAGCAGAGACAGGTGCCCATGGTGTCTAGTAACCTCCTCTGCTGAGAGACAGGAACAGGCGTGAATAACAGGAGAGGTGAGAAAAAGGGAGAGGAATTGTGGGGAAGAGAGAAAATGTAAATAAGACAATCCCGAGAGGCTTACAATGGATGCCAGACACCATCCTGAGGCTTCATGGGCACATGCTGACCACCCCATGATGTGGAGCTGGGAGCTCCCCTATTTATAGATGTGGAGACTGAGGCACAGAGGCATTTAGAGCCTGAGAGTATTCATGAATGTTCACTGAAACACAGTGTGGTCACAGACAGAGTTCTAAAGCCACACACGGGCCCTGACCGGTTTGGCCCAGTGGATAGAGCATCGGCCTGCGAACTGAAAGGTCCCAGGTTTGATTCCGGTCAAGGGCATGTACCTTGGTTGTGGGCACATCCCCAGTAGGAGGTGTGCAGGAGGCAGCTGATCAATGTTTCTCTCTCATCAATGTTC